TGGAGGTAGCGTCACTGTGAAAAAGAGTTTTTATATCATAAAAGCCACGCTTGTGACATCCAAGGAAATATAATTTGTAACTGTACAAATGCCATGTTTATGATGACTATGGAAGTTTTATGTTGCAAGTGTGATATTATTCCAGTAATGTTAATACCCTGTATAGTACAAAATTCATGGGGAGATTGTGGGGTCAGTGTATAGGGTAACGTTTCCTGTCATTAGTACCATTCAATCATAGTTCTAGTGGGGTAACATTACCACCCTATCTGCACCACTCAATCATTTGATCATGCCTTGATTGAACCATTTCGACCATACAATTAGCAATCATGCCATGATTTACTGGTCCAGACTCCAATGCTTAACTGAATTCAGAGATTGTGTATTGGGATAATGGAAAAAATAACTATGGGTGGATAATGCAGGCTTGTCACTAGTTTTGGAAGCTGATGTGAAGCAGATTGTAGGAAAGGCCCATCAAACTGTTAAGTTTTTGTCCTGAGTTATCACAAATTACAGCTCTATGCCTAACTAATCAACTGTATAACAAGATAATCACAGATTAAGATCTCTGGTTAACAAACAATCTCCAAACAACAACAAAGTAATCACAGATTAAGATCTCTGAATAGCAACCAATCTCCAAACGACAAAGTAATCACAGATTAAGATCTCTGTAATCACAATCAATCTCCAAACAACAAAGTAATCACATATTAAGATCTCTGAATCATCAAGCATTAACAAACAACAGATCAAGTAAAGAGATAAAGATCAACACAAGGAATTATAGTGGTTCGGCTGGGTAGCCTACATCCACTCTTCAAGGCGCAAATAGGATGTCATTACTATTACAGTCAATAGAACAATTTACAGAGTATTGAACAAAGAAAAAAACGAAATGAGCAAAGAAGAATACAACCCAAAGAAACCCTAGCTTTCTTCCCTTTTCCCCTTGCTACATATCCATATCAAATGGAATCAATTTATACATCAGTCACCTCCCAGGATCAACCTTCACTTGGTACCCCAAGAAGATTTAGCCGTAGATGAGCAACAAATTTCGTCTCCCATAAGAACATTCTGGAATGAGACAGTTAGAGAGGAGAAATCTGTGCAAAAGAAGAGGGCTGGATCGAATGCTAGACAAAGTCATTTTAGCTCATCATAAAACGACATCGGTTTGACCCCCTTGACTCTCCCAATTTTTAATATTCTCCACCGTGGCACAAACACAAGCCACATCACCACACAAACATTTGAAAGGTTTGTATCCTTTATGCCTTTTGCTGCCTCTATGGTTAATATCTTTTATGATTAAAGAAAAATATGGAACAATGAATTAATTCTTTCTTCAGGCACAGAAATGTTTCTAGTTCTTTTAGTTAATGATGGGGTTGTGTGTCACTACTTGTTTCAGGGATGGCCCATTGTTGGTGGTTGCATCTGGCCGGGATACCATTTCTGTTGCAAGCTCCATAAAACGGTTAGCTCCAGAAAATGTTTTTGTTATTCAGGTTAAACTTCATCCATTTTCTTTTCACTTAATAGTTTGTGAACTACCATTTACATGACACCGATACTGAAAATGGAGGCAAAGACACAAACACTTGGTTTTTGGATTGCTTGATCATGTTTTTTTGTGCTTTTCATGAGTCTAGGTGTTAGAATTATTTGTTCACTGTCTTCAACATTGCTCATCAGACTCTGTGTATAAACCTCATTTTGCTGGATGTGGTTATCCTGTCAGCATAGATGCTAAGAAAATAAGACTCAAAAAGTTATTGGTATTGTTTGTTTTATTATTGTGCTTCTAGCGAGTAACAAGATTGTGTGCATGATCTTACTTGTTCTTTTATTGCTATTTTCATTGCTATTGTTCCTTTTATGTAATTTTTTTGCTATGTTTTACTAGAGATAGTATGCGAGTATCATGCATTGGCAACTCTATTTGGAATATAAGATGATAATGGATACAATTGGTTCTAATGGGTTTCCCTGGAAATCATTTTACAGATACAACATCCAAGGTCACAACTGAATAGGTTTGATTTGGTGATTACTCCTCGTCACGATTATTATCCATTGACTCCTTATGCCCAGGAACAAATTCCTTGGTTTCTAAGGAGGTGGATAACTCCACGTGAACCTCCTGACAGACATGTGGTATGTACCTTGGTTTCAGAATACTTGTTTACTTGGATTTACAACATTAGGGAACTTGTATTCCATTTAATGGTTGGTAGTGATTATAGTTATTGCAATTATGGGTATGTAGCTCATACTTTTTCTTTTTTTTTTTTTTTTGGTTTCCAATCTCAGGTTCTCACAGTTGGAGCCCTTCATCAGTTGACTCTGCAGCACTTAGGCATGCTGCTTCTGCTTGGCATGATGAATTGGCAGTGCTCCCAAAGCCCTTGCTTGTTGTCAATGTTGGAGGTCCTACAAGTAATGTGCTGTACTTATCATGTGTTTCTTTTTCTCTTCTTTCTGAGGGGATAATCTCGTTGAAATTCCAGCATCTGCATTGTTGATTGACCTTGGCAGATCTTTTTATATGAATTAATTCCGTCTAAAGAAATATTATCACTAAAAATTATTATTCCATATTTGAATTCAGGAAATTCCCCTTTGGTCCAAAAGTAAAACATCGAGTGAACTACAGTAATTTGATCTGAAAAAGTTTAAAGAAAAATGGATGAAATTTCATTGCATTATCCTTAAAGGAATTTATTTTTTCCCTTTGATATTCAGTAATTTATTTGTAATTCAATTTTCTTTCTATGTCTTACGAATTTTTGGAGAACAAGAGAGTGTTTCTAATGTTGAATATGATAAAGCCATTGAATTGGACATCTGAAAGTATGTTAAGTATTTTCTTCTTCCTGATCATGTTCTTTGTGGAAAGTGGTCTTTGGATGAAAAACTGTTTCTCCATCCATATATTGTATGGGGAACATATGCATATTTTACATATGCTGTTTCACTTTGAACAATGACTACCTCATGTAAGAAATTTTTTTGTAATATTACTTTTTCATAGGCAACTGTCAGTATGGTGCTGATCTTGCAAAGCAGTTATCTGCAATGCTGCAGGATGTTTTCTGGAGTTGTGGAAATGTCAGAATATCGTTCTCTAGAAGAACACCAGAGAAGGTATTTATTTCTTTAGTAGTTTCTTATGTCGATTTCCTTCATTAAAACTTGCTACATCTGGGCATTTTTATTGACAGGTTGCCAAGATTATAGTCAAAGAATTTTGTAATAATCCTAAAGTTAACATTTGGGATGGTGAAGGTATTGAACTTTTATTGTTTTGAGATAATGTTTTGGGAGATTACTTATTTTTTATTTATGTAAACTGCATAGATCCAAATCCTCATATGGGGCACCTAGCTTGGGCTGATGCTTTTGTCATTACAGCTGATTCTGTAAGTATGTTGAGTGAGGCTTGTAGTACCGGGTATGTTTGATGTATGATGATGAGGAAACCTCCTAATAATTTAAGGTTGAATTATTTTTCTGAATTGAAATTCATATGAGATATTTTTACTCTTTATCCTACAGGAAGCCTATATATGTTGTTGGAGTTGAGCGGTGTACATGGAAGTTTGCTGAGTTCCAGAAGTCTCTGCTAGAAAGAGGATGTGTTCGACCATTCACTGGTAAAGAGGATGTAAGTTATCAGCTTTCTTACTGAATGTTTTGTTTATAGTAAGTATAATTTAAACCCATGGGTCTGTCAAATAGACCATATCTTTCTTGTCTTTATGGTTTTCTATAGTTGCATTTGGATAGCTGTCATGGGTGATGAATATATATCACCTTGTGTAATGATTCTCACTCTTTTCTGTTTTGCTCAACTATAAATACAAATTTATCTGTCAAGTATAACAAAGTGATTGCTTAGTAAATTCTATAATATATGTTTAGAATCAGCTCTAATTGGATATAGCACTACAACTGTTCCAGTGACTTTTAGTTTAGTTGCTTTCACTTGATCCCACCACAATTTAATTTAACTCATATGCGGTTTGATTTTACAGATGTCTGAGAACTGGAGCTATTCTCCCCTGAACGACCTCGCAGAGGCTGCTAGTCAGGTTAATGCAACACTTGCTGAGCGTGGATGGAGAATACATCCATGATTGGCGCTCTTTCTATTAGTTACTGAGCTTTGCAAAGTTAATGTGGTGCTTTGCACTAATCCCACATTTCGGCAGTGTTCCATCAAGATTTTACCAAAAGACGAATTTAGTTTACTGTTGAACAGGTATTCCTAATTACTTACACCTACGGAAGCATTTTCTTTCTACTTGTATAACCACTCCTTCATTGTTAAAGAAAGGTGAAATTTTGAATTGTTTGGAGAGATTTGAATAAAATATGTGGAATAACTAGTCGTGTATGATGGAAGGACAATAATATGTACTACATTTCATGATATGTGATTTTCATCTTTTAATTGACAAAAAATACTCCTTGCTCATGCTTCTCCACTCCAGTAATATACTGATATGCAAATGTGGACTAAATTTTAAAAAATTGGACTGGGTGTGTTCGGCCTTTTGACTCAAACCAACTTGGGCCTTGGTTTTGCAACCTCTAATTTCCAAATTGTGAACTAATTTGACTACTATTTAACGACAGGAGTTGACCTAACGTGGTTGGCCAATTTTCAATTCTAGTTTTAGTGTTTTTTTGGTGCCTTTTATATGGCATCAGGAAGAATGAGTTTTAATTATAAGATTGATTATTAACTACCAATCGAAGTTATCTGTTGATTATGGAATATTACCTGAAATTACTTCGACATATGATAAGGTCAAGTGGGATGACAGAAATCAATAAAGTGAATTGGATTAGGGACAATATATGGTTTAGTTGACTGATTTATGAGTTGGTGTATTTATCTAATTGTCTTGACTTTGTTATGAATTCCTAATTCCTCTTTTCATTCTTGCAATCATGTGAACGACTCCCCTTTCTTCCCATTAACCAAAACTCTTCTTTCCTTATCTATATAAGCTTCATTCATTCAACCATCTTCATCACAACGCATTTCACTTCTCTCATTAACCAACACTCTCAAACTTCTCATTTCAAGCTTCAAGTATCTTTCACTCAACGAAAATGAGGAGTGATTCGACTACCATTGATGTCCCCGAATCAAGCGCTGTTGCGAAAGGAAAAGCGCCTCTTATGCCGGCTCCAAGGCCAGAAAAAAGTCCATACAAAAAGGGCTTAGCTATATTTGACTTCCTTTTAAGGATAGGTGCCATAGTGACAACTTTAGCTGCTGCTGCTGCTATGGGAACCAGTGATGAAACTCTTCCTTTCTTCACTCAGTTCTTTCAGTTTCAAGCTGGTTATGATGATCTTCCAACTTTTACGTACGTTATTTCACTCAAATGCAACATTGTAGCATCAAAATTATCATTGAATTCATTATCTTATGCATAAAACAATCGCAAATGCTACTTACATACTATCACACTTGAGGTTTCCATTTTTGCAGGTTTTTTCTGATTGCAATGGCAATAGTAGGTGGCTACCTAGTCCTTTCGCTTCCCTTCTCCATCATAACAATTGTTCGTCCGCACGCAACTGGACCAAGACTCCTTCTAGTCATTTTGGATTCTGTAAGCTCTCTCAACATTATGTTTTTTGAGTTATAACACAAATTCCTAGTTTATATAACAATAAATGTTTCAATTTAAATGCAGGTGGCACTAACTTTAACCACAGCTGCTGGTGCAGCTGCCGCTGCCATCGTTTATTTGGCACACAATGGAAATCCAAACACCAACTGGCTAGCTATTTGTCAGCAATTTGGTGATTTCTGCCAGAAAGTCAGTGGGGCTGTGGTGGCATCTTTCATTGCTGTTGTGCTCTTTGTGGTAATGGTGGTGCTGTCAGCTTTGGCTCTCGGAAGGCATTAAGAAATCGAAACCGGCGCAAATGATTTTCATGTTTTTATGATTCCTTTGTTGTGTCCAGAAATTTGAGTTTCATTTTATAAGGGTACTGGTAACAGTGATATCTATTATATTGTACTGGAAGAATTGGTATTGAATCTAATGTGCTTGTGTTGAATCAGTCCATTCAATACTGCTTTTGAGCATCTGCATTTTAATGTATTCTGACTGAAATTAAAGAATACTTCAAAATGTTACATTCTCCGCCCAAAATTCCACGCATGAAAACAAATTCGTATAAGGAATGCTGCCATTCTGCCATCATATTCAAGTTTAGATATCCTGCAATTCCATTTAAAAAAAAAAAAAAAATCTATATTAAATTCTTCATTAAACGGTATGAAATCAGAAACAACTGAGTCTGGAAAAATTACAGTTCATCAGGTTTGAAACTTTAAGATTGTGCTAATGGATCACAAAGATCGTCCTTCATATGTACACTCAAAAACATTTCATTACTTCTTGGTTTACAACTTTGTCTGCTCAATTTGCAAAAAGCAATACAGAAGTGGGGCTGGAGCTGACAAATTCCATATCAGAGATTCAGAATTTGCCGTAGTTGACAAAGTTGCTCCTGGTTGGCACAAATTTGCGGAAGGCATCTTCACAAACAGCTTCTGACACATGATTGTATCCTGGAAATCTAGGAAAGTATAGTTTGAGTACTTGAGTCTCTCCCATTTTGTCATCTCTGAAAACCCGAATTTCGTAATCCATGTATTTACCACACTATGGGCTGAAGGCAATATCAAATTCATCACTCCTATTTCAACAAGCTGCCTTTCAAGCTCACCCATCAGGCGACGACACATTCCTTGTACGCGATACTTGAATCTGGTAGCAACTAATGGCATCTCAGCAACCTCTTCAAACACTCTACAGTTGCCACAGAAACAATTTCTCCTTTCTTCTCCAGAACAAATGTGTAGAATCCTTGAAAGTTCTTGTCCTTCGTTTTAGATTTGCTATTTAATATAACATCTAGAGCAAGATCTCTTCCAGTCAGAGGATCCACAGCTGGCTCAAAACACTCATGCATAACATCAATTGCCTCATTCAACTTCCTCTGATTCTCCTTTAAGACCTTACCATTCTTCAATAATCTCCAGGTTAAATTATCCCCACCTAGTGATATGGGCGTTCTTGAAAGCTTATGGAGGCAAGTAAATATATGTTCAAACCTATTACTGCAAAACCATTTATCAGGGGCATAGTTTTTCACCTTAACTTCCCCTCTACTCCTCAGGCATTGATAATAAGTGTGAAGAACTTCATCATCAACAAAATTCTCCATTTTTTTCTCAGATTTTCTCTCACCACAGATTACACAACAACAGGATGTGCAGAACCATTTTTCACTTGGAACATCCTTTAAGCCAAGGCAACTCTTGTGGTATGTTGAACGACATGAATCACATATAATTAATTCACCTCTACAGTGGCAAACACAACACACATCATGACTCAAATCTTGACTATTCTTTTCCTCCATCTCGTCACACTTCTCTTTACCATTTTCCGATTTATTATTACATAGTATTTGCTTTTGACAGTCCTATAGAGACCTCCCATCTTCAAGAAAAATATTAGCAGCTGGCCTACGCTTCCTTCTGCCCACATGAGCTTCAAAATCACTGATTGTGAACACCTTATTGCAACATTTACACTTGATTCCGGTACCACTTATCCACCCTTCACCCAAATTCCCAGATAACACTAGAATGCCCCTGGCGTCACCACTTTATTTTCAATCAACCTAAGATTACACCTTGATGTTCCAGGACTCACCTGCAACTGCATGCGGGTTGGCTTCTGACACTTTTGAAGTTCTCTTAATTTCTTCAATTTTTTGAACGTTTTCCCTCGTTTGGGTGCCTCAATATTTTCTGACTTCTCCATCCTCCTCTTCTTTAGGCTTTGTACTTGTTATGCCTGGGAAAGTAAGGGTTGACGTGGGAGGGTCACGTGGAGGATGACCTGCTCCCGTCAGAACATTAAACACACGTCAGGCTTGCCAAAAGATATGGAGTTCCCACGCGTCCATGTCCCTACTGTAAACCGTGCGAAGTCAGTTTGGAAAGAAGGTGATGGGACATAAAGCCGGATTATGTCCTGATAATCACACCAACCCAAGGATTTAGTGACCCACACTCACTATCAATACAAATCAGTGGACGTAGGACTTGTTACCTTAGCATCCGAACCACTTTAAAAGTTCTGATAGCATTTATTTCTCTTTATATATTCACTTTCACGTGTGCTTTTTGATCAATCAACGTTGCACACGTATTGATTGGTTGGTGTCCAAAATCTCGCATCAACAGTATTTAAATTAGAACAAACAAAATCTTTAAGAACTCCTTCATCCATGCAAGCTTTGCAGGCTGTTCTAAGCGAGTAATAAACTTTTCCCTATTTTCTCTTTCCACTGAACAAGAACGTCTGATACGAATGTTGTTAAGTAGAAAGCCCAGCCTACGCAAACTCCTACGGAACCAACCCAATCAACTTGTCCACAAAATCAGCCCACTTAAACGAACCTCGCACAGGGGAGCCCATGCAAAATAGAGCAGAAGGTTGACACAGCCGGCCCATGTATCTGTACAACATGCCTATGCTACCAGCCCACACAAAAGGGCCACGTAACCGACCCAGGCGAATTGCCCATACAAGCAGCAAATAGCCGACGGCCCAGAACCGAACAGCCCACCATAACCTTTTTGTAACAGCCCAGGAGGTAAAACCCAAACCATCTTCTTGAGAACCCAATCCACCCACTTAGAATATGTAACATTATCCTAATTATATCCTAACTAGATTGTCGATTGTTTAATTTTATATTTAATTTTGTGTTTTGGTGATTGTAGAGTTGCAAGGACGTTGAAGGATCTCCTTTTGTGGTTAAACGGTAATTTTGTTACGATTTTAAGCACTTTTGTTAAGAATTTTTTTTTTTTTAATTATTAAATCAACAAAATACAGGTCTGGATTTTTATTTATATGGAGTAATTAATGTTTGTGTTGAGGTTGAGAAAGATCTATCTGAGAAATGTTATGTACTGATGGTGGATACGAGTTTTAGTGTAAGAGCAGATGATTATGCATTTAGAGATTGAATAAATGGTTAAATTTGCTTGTGTGTGTGGGCTCCAAGTAGCTCACTGTTTTGGTCGTTAATTGTCTGATGTTAGTTGGTGAATCTTGTGGTTATCAAATTACAAGTCTCAAGAGTTAGCACATTTAGCTTGACAAAGTTTATTTGCTCTACACGATTAACACAACATGTTTGGTTTGTTTGAAAGAGTCATTTAGCTTGAGAAAGTTTATTTTCTAGATGATTAACATAACATTACCATGGGTTAAACAAGCAAAGCACAACAAGGGAGTTCCCACGGCACCATTTTCCTACCTCAGAAAAAATTTGTAACTTAGAATTTACTGTTGGCGGAATATTTGGTCATATACACAACCAATAGGTTTAATTAGAATACTCAAGGAACAATAAAGAAGAAATAGAGAAGACACACTCATGATTTACAAGAGTCGGTAATATACCTACATCCACTGGGCACAACAATGAGAGACAAATACAATATCAGGATGTCTCACTCTCTCTACCTAAGAACTTATCCACAACCTCTTAATGAAGTACTCACTCTCTCTCTAATCCTAAGACTTTTAGGAACTCAAAGTCCTCAAAGAATAGGAATGCTATATAGATGTGTATAGGATAAGACTTAATATCCCATTAGGAAAAGAACTCCGAATGTAACGGAAACAACTCATATTTGACTCATCCAGACAGAAACAGAATGGTAGTCTTAATTAACATTGCATTTTTATGATGGAAAGAGTCTTCTTGTGATTCCAGAAACTTCATTTCTCGCTAGCAAGTACATGAAGCTACACCAACAAAGTTTAAGATATGAAAGGATTGTTGTGGATGGCTTTTGTTATGCTTGGAAAAGTAGGGCTGACGTAGAGACTTGTCAACATGGGTGGTTAGAGCTTAAGAAGGTTCTACGACCGCTCATGTGCGGCCACGTCGCGTGATGACGAGAGCGGCATGCTCCTGCCAGTGTAGTAGGTGTATGCCAGGTTGACAAATGGTGGGAAACGATCCACGTGTCCCATCCCTGCACGAGTCGAGGAAATCACTCGGGCAGGTGAGCAATGGGATGTAGAGATGGATTTGCACGGCATCTACCCCACTCGCAGATTTAGTAATCATTACCTTGGTCCATCCTATTATAAATAGAGGACTTCTCTCCCATTTGTGGGATTGACTAATTTCACTCTGGAATAGCATACTCTCTCTATCTGTCTCTCTGTCTCTATCTCTCTCTGTCTGTCTCTGTCTCTGTCTCTGTCTCTGTCTCTGTCTCTGTCTCTGTCTCTGTCTCTGTCTCTGTCTCTGTCTCTCTCTCTCTCTCTCTCTCTCTCTCTCTCTCTCATTTGTATTCTCCAAATTATACCTGAGCTCGTTGAACGTGACCTAACTTCACTCATTAATACAATATCAGTGGACGTAGGATTCGCCTTGTGAGCATCCGAACCACTTTAAACATTATTCTCCACCTTTCAATTAACTAAACACTTCCATAATCACATGTGACTTCTGAGTCCACTCAGCATCTCTCACGTGCGAATGGTTGGTGTCAAAATCAAGCATCAACAATTTGATGTTAGAGGAAGGGCACTGATTTAGTACTTGTTCTTCATCAGGAGAATCTCTGACTAATCGGTCCCATTACAGCAAATGGCTTGCGGTTTCAAATCTGAGTGAACCTGTAACGCCCACATAGAGGTACGTAATTTAATTTATATGTTTATACCCTTTAGTTGATTTTGTTAAAGTTATTTTGAGAAAATGCCTTAAACTTGCATTAAGGATAAAATGGTCTTTTCACTCAAAATTAGTTGGAATTGTGGGGAGTGAAAAGAGATAGAATTTCATGGAGAATGTAATAAATATGAGGGCATTATGGTAATTGACTTAGGGGCATAGATAGAATTTTAAAAAAAGTGTAAGGGCAAAATGGGAATATATATATATAGATTGTTATATCAAAGATTGAAGAGTGAAACCCTAGCCACTCTTCAACCTTATACATGCCATTTTCACCTCTATATTCTCTCAAGCTCTTCAATTTTTCTTCAAAGAAAATTCATAGATTTTGGGTATTTTTGGGTGGATTTTCAATCATAAGCATCTTTAGGTAAGATCATTGTACTAAGAAGTGAGTTTTAATTTTTAAAGTGTTGAATTTTGATGATTTATGTTCATAGGATTTAAGAGGAAGGGAGTTGGATCCAAGAAGGTTTTTAAAGTGTTGGATTGCTCTTGTATAAGGTAAGTAAATCCTACCCGAAGTCTGATTTAAGTTATGGTGTAGAGAATTTCCTTTATGTATACATATGTTTTATATGTAGAAATTGTTGATGGATTTGGTGTTGAATGATGATTATAAATTATCCATGAGAAGTTATGTTGATGTATTGGATGTTTGATGAGTGTTTGGATGAAATTTGGAAGAATTGGAGTGGAAATTTTGGGCAGATTTGGTGTTGAATATGGAGGGTTTAATTCCACTTTTTGGTGGCTTAGAAAAGAGATAGAAATGTAGCCAAATTAGGGTTACTTTGTGCACCTAAGTTGTTTGATGAAATGTTAAAGAGAAGTATTTGTTTGAGTATAATTATGTGTTATATTGAGATGAGTTTGTAGATGGTAGAGAATGACATATTTGTATTCCATATTGCATAATTGCATTTAAACATGTGAATTTAGAAAGAAGTATAAGCATGAAACCATCTACATGCATACATATTCATAAGAGCATGAAAAAAACACACTAAAGAATGTCAAAGATTAAATAGAAAGAAATGAGAATGTTAAAAAGTTCCAAATCTGAATTTTAGTTAAAGAAGTGTAAAAAGATAAAAAGAAGAAAAGGTTGTTGTGAGGGGGAATCTGAGTGACAAGAAGAATTTTTCCCATATGCACGCCGCCTTTAGTGAGTGGCCTAAGAAGAAGAAAGAAGAATTAGTACAGTTCGTAAGAGTGCATGTGGATGAGGGCTGTACCCAAGAAAGAAGAATACACTCACACGACCAAGGTTCCAAATCCATGCCTCAACCGAGTCCGATCGGCAAAAGAAAAGAATCAGAAAAGAATCAGAAAGAAGAGAAAATAATAAGAAAGAAAAGAAAAGAAAAGAATCAGAAAGAATAAGAATGAATAGAAAGAAAGAAAAAAGAAGAGAAAAAAAAGAAGCACAGAAAAGAAAGAAAGAAAAACAGAATAGGAACCGAGAAGAAAGAAAAATAGAAAAGAAAATGCACCTTTTATACAATTGTGCATTTGCATTTTATTTATGCATAATATCATGCCCATTATCTGAGTAGTAAGAAATTAGAATAGAGAAAGAAAAGAGAAAGAACAAAGAAAGAACAGAGAGAAAAACAGAGTAAGAGTAGAGAAAGAATAGAGAAGAATGGGGAAATGTGAAGTAAGGAAAGAAATTCAGAATTTAAGCAAAGAAAAGAGAAGGGTAACATAGTGGGTTTACTTACTAAGCAATTAGTGCTTACCCAGTTGTTTACAATGTATTTGCAGGTAACAGGTGAAATGCGGTCATTTGGATCATCACGCAGCGGAAAGGGTTGGGTAAAACTGTCAAGCTAATATTTTGAGACTTATTTGTATTATGTAAAGTTTTGTGAATAAAGAAAATTAAATGTGGGCCCATACTTTTATACTCGTTTATATACTTTTCTTATATGTATTTAATGAGTTTTTACTGTTATTTTACGAGTATACTAGCTAAAAAGAGAGTCATTACAAAACCAACTATGGCAACGAAGAAATCCCCTTGGTACAGGAGGACACTTCTCCCGAAGGAGTGCCTCCAATCCAGCAAAATGTAATGGGGGATATCCCTTCAAGCTCACGGCTTGATCTGGCAGTCATGAGTTACCTGGAGAGGTTCAACAATACTCTCCAAACGGTCAGCCAAAGGCTGGATTGGTTGGATCGGGTCATGCCACCCGAATCAAATGAGGCGGTGCAACCACTAAAAATGCTTGTAGGTAGCGTGAAAGTGCAGAAAATGGCAAAAGCCCATACCGCGTGTACTGCAACGCATCAAAGAAAGGGAAAGCAAGTGGCACACGGAGGACATAGAGGCTCCGAGGGACCAAAAAACACCGATCGCGCCTCGGGTAGAATATCCGTGGCATTGTGACTCGGTGGCATGTTGCGGCCCAAGCTATCCCGTGCCACATCGCATGAGCACTCCCACAAAAGTACGAGGGTGGGAGATCCCCATAATTGCCAAAATGAAGACTTTGAAAGTCGTCGCGCGGGAGACTCCCACCGTCTGCGGGTTGGTTCGTACCACTGCGGAGGTCGGGAAAGCTCCCCGCACCATTCAACGCCATCACACTGCTCTAGCCAGCGTGTGTCGAGATTGGCTGGAACTGCTAGCCGAGGCGAGGAGGAATCCGACCTACGGTCCTTCCTCAACCACAATTGTGAGGGTCAAACCCACGTTTCGGAAAGTGATCCCCAGATAGCTCCGTGACCTTAGATTAAGGAGCTACAGCGAGCTTTGGATCAGCTAAAGGCTCAGCAAAATGAGCAAGGGCAGGTCGTAGAGGCGTCTCCCTTTTCTCCAGCAGTATTAGCCGCTCCTCTCCCGTCAAGATTCAGAATGCCCGACATGCAAGCATTCGATGGGAATTCTGATCCGCAGGATCATCTGTACGAGTTCAACGACCTCATGGAACTCCACCAAGTCTTTGACTTGGCAAAATGCGGTTGCTTGGTGGTAACTCTTATCTCTCATGCCAAGTGATGCTTCAGGTCACTCCCAGCAGGATCAGTCAGCTCGTGACCTCAGATGAGCTCAACATTCCTGAGACACTTCCAAGCAAACAGGCAGTTCTCGATGCCCCTAAGCTACCTTAGCAACATAAGGCAAGAGAGGGATGAGCCCCTCCAATCTTATATTGAAAGGTTCCAAAGGGAGCTCCATAAAGTAGCTCACACTCCCGAAGAGTCCGTTCAAACTCTTATTATCGTAGGAGGTCATCCATAGACAGATCTGTGGAAGGAGCTACAATTTGAGGACGATGTTTCCCTCACCCGCTTTTACAACCTTACGGAGAAGTACTTCAGTAAAATATTAAAAACCAAGAACAACGTCTTTCACAGTTACTTTCACTCAGAAAATATTTTTCACAAAACCTTACACGCATACACACTATCAACGACAACCAACAAACCATCATACAACTTTCGATACTCTTCAAAGAAAAAAAAAATGCTGATGCATATTTACCTACTCCATTAAACCTTCGCTTTTTGATGTTCAGTCGTCGATGATTTATCTACCATCAACCCGTAAACAACCCTATGTCATCAAATGTCATTGTCATTCCTTATGTCGTACACCAATAATGCTGCTTCTCAATGTTTTTTCCCTTCACTCGTCGCAAACAGATTTCCATCACTCTGTCATGGTCGTCGGCTTTAACTCGTCCTCCCCTGTAGCTAGTTCATGTTTCACAAGTTGTCGTCGATGGTTTCGTTTAGGTCGTCGTCGATAGTTGTCGTTCAGTTGCTCAAAGCCTCAAACTCTAGACAGAACACAAAGTCACAACAAATGAAAAGCCAATAGACTTTCGTTTATTCTTCTTCTTTTTTTATTCAATGTCAATTGTTAAGGACACATGTCAAGCCCCCAAGGAATCTTCCAAGAGAAGCTTCTTCCATTAATCGAGAAAGTTAATTAAAATTTCAAATTTGGCTGCTCTACATACAATTACTATATTAACCTTTAATAGAATGAAATTTCTAACAGAGAATGACGGAAAGTATTTGTTTGTCTTTTCTAAACTATTTGGGTACCACATTGTCATTACTTCAAACCTTGGGTGGGTGTATGTCGTTCAACCTTTTAAAAACTTCAGTTACCATTACACAGTAAAATCTCAATGGTAACTTTATTGTTTTAAAACATTACTTTAATTAAAAAAAAAAAAAAAAAAAAAAAACTAGAGGGACAAACTGGTAACTTACATCCTTATATATGATTGAGAGCATATCAATAATTGACTCTATTGACATGATATAAAATCATTAAAAAATTTATTAAGTCAAATAGTAAAATGTATTTTCGTCTTTACAGTGACTATATCATGTCAATTCACAAATCTCATCAACGGATCTTAAAGATGGATGGGAAATTGTTTTTTCTCAAAGTTTATGGGTGGGAAAAATAATTACACCAAACCTTTTGTGGGAAATTGTCATCTCCTCAATAAATAATTTGATAACTAGTGTACACAAAATTCAACAAAATGTATATAGGGAGGTATATACCCAGTACCGACCACATAATAGAGCAGTCCTCCACTATTTTTATGGAATATATCAAAAGTGATAGAGAAACGTAAAATGTAGAGTAAATATTAATTACTAAATCTAAAGCCTAAGTCTAAACTTACAGCTGCTATTCTGAATACTAATGGAGTTATCTGTGGCTAAGCTATCTACCACCAGCCTGCACGTCACTGCAAATTTGACCTTCATCAGCTTCAATTTCCCAAGCTTAACCCTCACTGGCTGATCAACCTTCAGATCCAATGGCACATTCCCAGTCTGTTGCTGCTGTTGTTGTAGTGATGTAGCCAAAGCGGTGGCGTTTTGTGTTTGACCTGTTAATGGCAAATTAAGCACTGTTGTATTCTGGTGACCCTGGTAGAATTTTGGTATTGACCCTTCGCATAGTTTTGAATCTGTGTACCACACACTTATATGGCTCCCCCTTTCATAATATATTCCTATTTTCTTGTTCGGATTTGTTGCAGTAATAGTAACATTAAACGTCGCCTCTAAGCTCGAATCGCCAGAAAAATTGAACTCGGTTATTCGCATTCTGTCGACGGAATATGTTGGTATCTTTGGCTGGAAAGCAAGGAATAATATTCCAAGAACAATTGCGATGGTGATGATGAGGAGTAAAAGAAGAGAAATGGTCCAACATAAGAACTTGCAGCAACAACTTCTTTTCTTTTTGGGTGGTTTTGAGTGAACCACAGGAAGAGTTCTTTCAAATGGTGGATCATGTTGGGGTGTTTGATCAGATTTTGAGGAGCCTCGTGGTACCAATGGAACTGTTGGTGTGTGTTGGGCCTCGACATCTTCGTGCACCGGATGGATTTTCTGTTGATGATCCGCCATTGATAAATTTAATGAAGAAAGCTATACAAAATATCTATCTATTCACTAGAACCCGTATTGAAATTTATATAAGAGAAGCTTAAAGCTTGGTCGATAAAGTCAAATACGCGGATGGTTAACACTTTTCTTTCTTTGACCTTTAAGGTTTTATATTCAAGGCACACGTTTTCAATTTTCATACGTTTTTTAAAATCCAATAACGCATATGTTTCCACGTGTAATTGAAACCCAAATATTTATTACTTATTTATTTATTTATCTATTGACTATTAGTTTCCTTCTAGAACAAATGGGTTGGTAGGACGATCAACCCTAACTCAATCCGCATTAAGATGGGTTCAATCTGAATCACCTAAAGGACGGGTCGAATCGAACCTAACCCATATATTCATTTCTATTATTATTACAATCATTAGATTGAAAGCTCACGACATTATGTAGGTGTATTTATTATATTTGTTATATTATTATTAATTTTTTTGTGTTTTAAATATATATTTTATGTATTAAAGTTTATTTTATATTGAATTGATAATTAATAAATAAAATATTATATAATTAACAAATAGTATATATTTATTATTGGTGTAAAGAAATATTATCTACAAAAGAAGTAAAATTAATTTTATCCTATTTTATAAATAAAAGTTATATTTTCAACATTTATGAATTAGAATATAATATTTTGTTATTTAATTTTGGTTTAATATTTGTTTCTTTTTTTTTACCGGGTTGTCGAAAGTAATCTATCCACATTTAAATTAATTTTACATAACTTGGAAATTGTTAATTATAATAGCAACATGTTTTAGTTGTCAATTAAAATTATTTGTAAGAGTGAACCGGGTTTTTTACTTAATTATAAATGTTAAACCGGTTGGTTTTTACCTCATCTTAAACTGGTTTATTAGTTTGTCTAGGGTTTCACTTTCTTGTTTTTCATTCGTTCAGCTTCATTGTTAATATTGTTCACTCTTTGAAGATTGTTTTGGCTACGTCTCGTGTTGCTGTTGCAATTGACTTTGAAGATGATTACAGTGTTTGTCTTTCTCCTTTCATATGTTATATTGCACTCTGTTTTGAATTCTTTGATACCATGTTTGAAGAAGTCATCATCTTCAAAATCAATAAAGCTCTCCACCATCCGATCTTCACTATCATCAATAATGCACTGAACAACATTCTCAGGCCCCAAAGATTTGATTATACGATATATACTATCTATGAAATGTTGAAATGTCGACCCTTCTTCAGGAATTGTAATTTTGTCAATATACACCAACCCAACAGGGGAATAGGCGAAAAAGTTCATACTCACAAGTTCTGAATCTTCTATTACCTTAGACATCAACAGTGTACAACCTTCTTTCTTGAAAAATCTCTTGACATTTCCAACGTATTCCTCAATTTCTTTCTTGACATCTTGTATCAACTGAGATTTAAGGGCTAAAATAATCTGGTAATTCATAAGTTGGCCCGAACTTGCTATGCTCTTCAACAAATCAGCCAGAAATGGTGTTTTGGAAACATCAAGTGGAAAGGATAAACTTAGCAAGCAACTTATCCAGTGATGTGCTCTTATCCTCATATAATAATAAACCAAACACTCGCATATAGTTTTTGTCAATACAGAACTAAAAAAGTAAATGTGAACTGGCAAAGCGGCCAGCAAAAATATGCATAAGAAATCCCAGAATAGAGGGGTGCACTTTAGAACTCTCAGATAGATGTTATAATAGAAATCGAATTCCAATATACAATTAGTCACCTACCAATGATGGAATTGCACCAGAAAGCATAGATTAAATATTAAAAAAAAGGAAGCACAAATAGCAAAATAAAAAGCATTCAAATGTATAAGTCATTAACCCCGAAGAAAAACCTAAATTTAGAAAATGTAACATTCTTCTTATGTAAAACATGCTAAAAGACAGCCAGCATTAAGTCAAGTGGAAATTCAAAAATTCCTCTAGCTACCTGCATTATTAGGAGCAGTCAAACCTATAGGCCCTGTAGAAGCTGAGGGATGAGGGAGAGGGCATGGATTCGCCATCCATCCAGCAAGAGAAGTCGAAAGAACAGCAGGAGTAGGCTGAAATGGCTAGAAAAATACAATTTAAAGTTAAATTTCCAAGCAGTCAGAGTCCAAGTTAGCTCAATTACCTAGAACCTTCAAAATTTTTACTAACACCATGAGCACTCAATGGTGGAAAACCTCCAGGCTTTGGAACAGCACCCATTAAAGGATTGGTAACGAGAGAAGGGCTCGAGCACCGTTTGGCTGTCCACAACTATGGTCTACAAATAGGGTCTTTATGTTGGGATTAGGCCTTGGATTCTTACATAATTGATGCTGCCAATTTAAACTGCAATTCAAATGCTAATAAAAGTGAGGATCTTCAATTAAAAGCAATAAACGAAAGCATAAAGATTGACACACAAGAAAGAAAAGAACTTCTCGAGGACCTCTGGTTAATTAGGGTCCGTAGCCTTGAATTCTTCAAGGCAAGAAATTAAAGCTTATCGCGGAAAAGTGGATTAGCCTCTATCAACGTTTTCAGTTCAGCTAGCATTATACCCCTAGCAGGCTTGGTATCTCCATATTTCGAGAACTGTTCATTATCTCTGCAAGTAAGACCACAATCAAATTTATCATATAAGAGATATGATTATATGACTTCTTTCTTTTTTAAATAAGACACAAACGTAGAAGACATACTCAGCTATGGAAAATAGTTAAGCACAAATTCTCAAAGATATATCAAATATATACCTGAAGTTTTCCAGTGTCAATAGCTGTGTGATCTCCTTGAAAAACTCTTCATTAAATGCAGCAAAAACTTTCAAATGTTTAACTAATATATCCACACCTTTAGCACGATCACGCCTAAATTAAATTTTTTGTCAAGGAGAAGGCATTAAAGAACTTTAAACACACTCCAAAGTTATAACAAACAAATCCGTAAAACTGAAAAAATATAAAGAGAACTCAATAATGCACTTGAAAAGACAATAAATAAAATTTTAATATAGAAACAGATAAATAACAACACAATGCAATCAATATACATTTCTCTCTCCAATTACCTTAGATTTGCAAGCACGTCTTGTGAAGACAACCAATTTGGCTTTGTATGTCTTCAACCTTTGAACATTAGCTTGACCCTCCAAAGATCGGTTCTTACGGCAATGGTCAACTGAAATGCCAATAGTTGGTGCTACTTCCTGGGAATGCCTGCAGCCTGAATGAGTACAGAGCGTTACATCCCCAATGGGAAACACAATCAATAATAACGCCCGAACTTTGATTCACGACATTTATGATGGCAACAATCTATAGAACTCAGAATCATTCATTTTCTGGTGTTAACAAACTATACAATTTTTAATCTCACATTTTCTTTTTTCAGTTACCACACACAACAGCTCCGTGCTTCCATCTAGAGTCGGTGGTAGGCCGTGCCAGCCCACGGTACGACACGGTACGATAAAGCAAGATACAACAAGCCTAAAAAATATACGGGTCATGCTATGGGCCTTAAAAAAGGCACGTAGGCCGGCACGACATCACACAAAAAAAAATTAAAAAATGTGTTGTTAAAGATATATAATGTATATGAAGATTTTAAGAAATTAGAAATGAATGAAAATTAAAATGTATAATAATTCTTAATTCTAATTTTTAATTTCTAAATTTATATTTGTAATTTATAATTATAACTTATAAGTAATAAAAAGTGTTGAAATTCAATTAATATTTTAATGTCTTATTATTTTATTATATTTCATAGTGATTATATATTTTTTAAATTAATATAAATAAAAAATGTCACTAAATATAAAATATAAAATATTTTTTATAATAATTATTAATAATAAATCAAAATTACCATAATTTATAAATATTAAAATTAAATATTTTTACAAAACACGTGGACTGACCTATGTCACGACTCAAGGCACGGCACGATATATAATGGATCGTGCTGTGGACCTTCAAATTTGGTGGGCTGACACGGCACGATAAGACTCGAATTTTTGCGGGCCTTGGTATGACACAGCCCATGATATGATGTGCCTTAAATTTTTAGGTACGACACAGTCCATCGACACCTCTACTTCCATCAAACAAAAACAAAAAATCAAACATCTCACGGCATCACCCTCATCTGAAACAAAAACACAAATCAAATTACCCCACCTCCTCCTCATGATAACTAAAATTTAAATAAATAAATAAATAAAAAAACCACCCATTTTCAAGTTACAAAATTCATTAAAGCTATTGTTTTAACCTGATGTATTGAAATTTTATAGTGCATGCTATAACTTTCTGTCATTTGAACCAAAACACAACTGACAAACAACCAAAATAGAAGCCATTTGTACATGTAATTGAATTTCTAATTTAATAGATATTATTAGTTAGTAGCAGTTACATATATTAGTTGTAACTATCTGTTAGTTTAATTAGTCTATTTGTTAGCTAGTTTGTGAAAAAGTCCAGCTATTTAAAGCACACAGTGTATTGAGAAGTAAAGTCGAAAATAAAAAATACATTTTCCTTTCTTCTCTCTTCTTTCTTCCGCACATTATCTCTCTACTGTTTCCATTCCCAAAATGGTATCAGAGCGCTTTTTCGATCTAACTCATTCAACAACAAATTTCAGCAAATTTTTTTCGACTCAACCAAGATTCTTCTTTGTTTCATTAAACTAATTCAGATTTTTTGTTTCTTTCTCTAATTTCTTTTTGCAATTCTTGATTTCTTTTGCCCTAGTTCTTGATTGACAATGAGTGGATCTACTGAGAGAACAACAATGGCGGCAGATTACAACAATCTGTTGTATCTGCATCCTTCAGACACTCTTGAAAATCAAATTGTTGGCCAAACTTTGATTGGAACTGAAAACTATGGATTATGGAGTCGTGCGATGCGAATTGCACTTTTAGCAAAGAACAAGCTAGGTTTTGTGGATGACTCATTTACACGTCCTCTTGATCCACTTTAGGCACAACA